GTAGTGAACGTTCTGGAGCCCTCCTTCAACGAGGAAGTGCCATGGCCTTATAGTGGTTTCGGCACGTGAAACCTCTGAAGTTATTATTTGAAGAAGGCTTTGCATCTCGTGCGCCTCTCGACAGTGATGCCCTCGCCATTTGTGCACGCAAATTTTCATTTCGCTAAATTTATGCGCGCCTGTCGCAGAAACGGCCAAAAGGAAGTTATTTATTCACAGCCTATCAGTGCAGGCTGGGCGGAAAACCGCAGCGTGGCGATCCGAACAGCCAAGGGTGTTGGCGCGACAACAGCTGCACTAGAAGCGTTTGATATACGGCGTAGAGAGACTATCGGGACGACGCCGGCAAGCCGACCGCATAAGGTATCGGCCACGCGTCATGCATGGCGATCTGAATCGCAATCATCATTCAGGCCAGTCGCTTGAGCGTCCCCGAGATCTCGCCCTTATTAGCGCTGCCGGGAAATCTGGCCATCTTTCAATGGAGACCGTGGGGACGGAAGGCGAACAGTTTGCAACCGAGGTTATTAAGCGCGTTCTTCCCATGCGAACGTGCTGAATTCGTGAGATAAGCAATATGCTAAGTGTAAGAGCCAACGGACAATATCACTGTCCGGCTTTCGCCGTTCCTATGGCTCCGGCTTGCTTTGTATGCACTTTTATGGATATGTATCGGCTTGCTTTGTATGCACTTTCATGCATATGAATAATCTTGAGTAAGGAAACATTTTAGCGTGAGCGAAAATAAATTTAAGCTAAATTTAAGTATCGGGCTCTTTAAGGAGTGAAAACATCCATTGTAGAGCGAGAAGGAAGCTTTTGTAGGTAAGAAATAAACATGTCAATATTTATTAACTATCAACACATCATTATGTCTTCATAGCTCTCCACGTATCAGGCTGCAGTCTTAGGTTTTTCTCAAGCGACAAACACCGCCTTTTCACCCAAGCCTACCCTCATCCTTGAGTTGAGTTGAATAAACTTATTGGCCCAATGGTCGCGCCCAGGGCTAGGCTGCCAAAAATCTACCGTTCGAGGAGCATTTTTCGAGGTTCTCGACGATGGCCCTGGCTCGCTGAACGGCTCACTCCTCGTCTTCAGGAGCCCCGCTGAACAGAGCGGCTTCCCATCGCTATAGCAAGGCGCGTCGCTTCACAGGGTACTTCAGTTGGAGTCGGCCTTTCTCGTGGCCTCTCGCTGTGCCTTGCACATTCCCAAAGAACAAGCGGCATATTGGCCCGTTTGTGCTCGCATCACGGGCAGCCAGACAACGGGTGCAGCGTGGGCCACATGTGGTGCAGATGATAGGGTTAGTGAAAGTGCTCGTCTGCAGCCGTCTCAGATCCACCGCCAGCATGCGACCTGCCCAGACGCACGTGAGGTTCCGGGTATCTCTTTCGGTGTTTTCTATACTTCAGATTACGTTGAATTGAGCGTGAAATCGGGCTGTGGTAACTCATGTGGCGTTTGCGCTGGCTTGGTTCATCGAGAAGGCACACACGAAGGCGACGTGATAAATACGAGAACTTGTCTGTTTTAGCGCAGATGATTCAAACTCAAAGTTAGGACTCGGACCACCTGTTACCATTATCTATTAAAATAAATTGTGTGTGGCGAGACGCGTGAGTGCATAATTCTAGAATGCACATGTATTTGCTGCTTTGTGTATATCTCGCACCCAGCAACATATAGCAGGTGTAGCCATCGTTTAGTCGAGATGATTCGTCTTCGCTAGACAGCCACAACTAGTCAGGTCGACACGTTAGCTCCAGTGACATACACCTTGTCAGCTATTTCTGATAAGTTCAAGCCAGCAGCCTCCTAGCTCTGCGCTTTTGTCTGATTTTAGGGGCGAAGCTCCTTATACCGGCACCCGTTCGTCCCTCGTAGCCATTGTAGTAAGTAACATGTATAACATTTTGACCTCCAAGGTGGTGCCGGTGAGAGATTTCTTCTGGGCGTTGTTGAACAATAAAAAATAGTGCTCGATGTACATCATGTGCTCGATGTACATGTAGTGCTCGATGTACATAATGGGGAACGAGAGACAGGAGCATTCAGCTTTTAGTTAACACGCACGCTGCGATCCCTATTAGCAGCCATTGGCATGTACAATGAGCACTATCTGACAAGAAAAGTTTGCTACGTTATACTCGCTGGGTGTAACCTCCTTAGTTTTAGAAAGGTTTAGCGAGCGTCGAACCGCAGTGCCATGAGTAAAATGAACTAGTATATACAATGAATGAACTCAAGGTGGTTAATGGTGGGAAGTAGATACGAAGCACAAGCCGTAAGAAAGTAAAAGCCCAATTCTCCTGTCTCTCATTTCCCATTAGCAGCCATTGACATGTACATTGAGCACTTTATGACAGGAAAAGGTTGCTACGTTATACTCGCTGGACGTAACCTCCTTGGTTTTAGAAAGGTTTAGTGAGCGTTGGGCCGCAGTGCCATGAATACAGTGAACTAGTATATACCATGAACTCGAGGTGGTTAAAGGTGGGAAGTAGACCCGAAGTGCAAGCCGTGAGAAAATGTGCGTGTGCCACCTCTCGTTTAGTCCTTGGAATGTCCGCTGGATGGCGGTGCTTCTATATGGGGAATATATGATGAAAAGATGCGAGATGCTGGTACTTGGAGTGCTGAATAGATGGACGAACGGACACACAGACAGATGCATGGATGGACGCATGAACGGACGCAGGCGCGGATGCAAGGACGGACGCTCGAACAAACTTACGCAAGGACGGGCGGATGGACGCATGGACGGTCACACAGACGGACGCATGGACGGACGGAAGCAAGAAGGAATGGACGAACGAATGCTTCGCCCCACTCCCCATCTTCACTCCGTGGATATGCTGCCAATTTTTTTTTCAAGGAACAGCAATATACTCCGAGATATTGGCGATTAATAACAAAGGCGATTCCTCTAACGTGCACTGGTAAGTTACTCTTCCACAATTCGAAAATAACCTGCCTTGCCAAAATAGCACAAATGGTAAGCGAGAAAAGGCCAAAAAAGAAAATGCGGGTAGCGAAGCCACCGTAAAGTTCTCACACCAAGAGCCCATGACGTCATACATTTTGACACTGTTTATACAAAAGATTTCATAGCTCCTAATCAATAAAAGTGAAATTGATTGATGTCAGAGCAGGCCACGTTCTTGAGATACCAAGTTTCAGGAAATTTAGTTGAGCCAATGTCTCCAAAATGCGACGTACACATTTCTGTCATCCATGACGTAATGCTCGGAGAGTTTGGTGCGAAGTTTATAGGTGGGGCATTGACTTTGATTTTCTCCACTATTAATTAACTTATGATGGTGAAATTAGTGACATTAAAGTTCTTGGTCAAAATAGTTTTGGAGCCTCTCACTTGGGCATCTCTCAAAATCATACCGTAATACACTGTGGTGATACCTTTGTTATGGTTGATTGATTGATTGATTGATTGATTGATTGATTGATTTGTGGGGTTTAACGTCCCAAAACCACCATATGATTATGAGAGACGCCGTAGTGGAGGGCTCCGGAAATTTCGACCACCTGAAGGTCTTTAACGTGCACCCAAATCTGAGCACACGGGCCTACGACATTTCCGCCTCTATCGGAAATGCAGCCGCCGCAGCCGGGATTTGAACCCGCGACCTGCGGGTCAGCAGCCGAGTACCTTAGCTACTAGACCACCGCGGCGGGGCTACCATTGTTATGGTGCTCCACTCCTGACCCGAAGGTCTAGGGTTCGAACGAGGCCATGGCGGTCCCATATCGACAAAGTAGACATGCTTGAGACCCGTGTATACTGTGCGATTGCATCTGCAGTACAAGCTATAGGCAAAATCCAGATGGTCGAAACTTCAGGGGCCCTCCAATACAGCGCGGCTCACAGTCGTATCGCGGTGTCGGCCCGTAAAATTTCAAGAATATTATTATAACATTTAGGTTCTTTTACACCCCGAAACCAAGATATGATTATCAGAGACGCCGCAGGGGAGGGTTCCAGAAAGTTCGAAGATCTGGTGTTCTTTAACGTGCGCTGACATCGCACAGTACGCAGACATCTACGATTTCGCCTCTATCGCAATGTGACCACCGCAGCCAGGATCGAACCCGCAACCTTCGGGTCAGCAACCAAGCACCCCATCTATTGCTTCGCCATGGCACAGGAATTCATATTGAAGCTCCTCCGCCGCGATTGTCTAGTGGCCAAATATACTCGGCTGCTGAAACGAAGGTCGCGAGATCGAATTCCGGCCTACGAGTGACTGCATTTTCGACGAAGTGGAAATGCTGTAGGCCCGTGTGCTCAGATTCGGGTGCTCGTTAAAGAACTCCAGGTGTTCGAAAGTTCCGGAGCCTGCCCTACGGCGTCTCTCGTAATCATATGGTGGTTTTGGGACGTCAAACCCCTCAAATCGATCATTAATGCGAAGCTGGCTGGGCGGAAGCTGAAATTGGTCCTGTTTATGAGCGCAAGAACTCCTATAGCGCGTCACATTGGGTGCATCTCAATACTCTCCACTGGTCCACTGAATTTGAAGAAAACACATGAGGGTAAACACAGATTAAAATTTTCGTACAAATGTAACCACTAATTCAGAAAGATTTTAATTAATAGCCCACTGATATTTCAGCTTAGCTGGTTAACCCTTCGTATGGAGTGCCTGGGCGCTGATTTTTTTTTATTTAGGTTTCGGTGAACGGAAAAGAAATCGAGGTGGTCAAAATTAGTTGGGAGCCTCCTACATGGCGTGCTTCATTGTCATATCTTGCGTTTGACACGTGAGGTGTCCAGAATATCACTCGCTTTCAATGTCGCAGTAACTGCCGTCGCAATACTGACTTCGTTTTATGATCTTTCGCATAGCTTATCGTTGCTGATACGCCAGACGAAAACGGCACGTGCTCGCATATGTGGGTGGCTAATTTCGCAGTACGCATGCTCGACACAGAACGAATACGCTATAAAAAGGTGATTTCGGGTTGCCACTAGTTCACTTCGTCTTCGGAACAGCAACTGTTCGATCGACGCGGCTTCCAGTCATGGCCCGCACAAAGCAGACTGTCCAGGTTGCGCGCAAGTCAACTGGTGGGAAGGCTCCCCGGAAGCAATTGTCTGCGAAACTTATGCGGAAAATTATGCCGTCGTCTACTGCCGTCAAGAAGGCTCATCGGTTCAGGCCTGGTACGTAATCACCTTTTTTTTTTTGTTTTGAGTGTGTGAGGGCATTGTAGTCTTCACGGAAAACTTCAAAGTCCAGTAAGGGATGCGTTTAGGCATTCAATGCAGTGCTCTGCAATGGCTCTGCTATTTCTATTTTGATGAGCAGTACAGTTCTACTTTCACTTTAAGTGGGATTTTACTTGTGCTCTTCTTAATCGGGGCGTTTCAGTACGTGTGCACCTATAGCCAAGGTCCGACTGGCTTGGGCGTAATCTCTCGAGCCCAACTTCTCCCTTGCTTTGACGAAATGTTTCTGCAGTATTTTTTTTTTACTTTAGCGCTCCCACCTGTGCGTATGCCCCATTGGGGAAGCACTTCTCTTCTTGACTTGCCGTATGCTTTTCCACCACCCGGTTGTACAGCTGCAATCCACCGCAGCTCACTCGGCAGAGTGGCTGCAGGTTACCCCAATGATCTACGCTTCGACTCTTTCCGCTACGAGTACGCTTCTCATCTGCTTTCCTTTACCTCTGTCACCACTGCTACTGTTAACTTACAACCGCTTATACCTACCATTTCCTTAGCTATGGCTAGCGTATAATGGCAGAATGGCCCATGCAGCCGCCTCACAAAGCGTGCCCTTGTTCCATTGCCTCTTTCGCCCTTCCCTATGAGAAGATGCGCTTTTCTCATCGACACTTCCTCGCAGGTACGGTAGCCCTACGGGAAATCCGACGCTACCAGAAGTCCACCGAGTTGCTCATACGCAAGCTGCCTTTCCAGCGGCTGGTCAGGGAAATCTCCCAGGACATGTTACACAACCTGCGCTTCCAGTATTCGGCCTTGCTAGCCCTGCAGGAAGCCACCGAAGCATACCTCGTTGGCATCTTCGAAGACTCGAACTTGTGCGCCATTCACGCCAGGCGTGTCACCATTATGCCCAAGGACATTAACCTGGCTCGTCGAATACGCTGTGAACGGTTGAAGTAGTTCGGCACTAGACGGCTCGCCATGACACTTGCCCTGGTTCACACACTTCATATTTATTTACTCGCACCCGTCGGGTGTTTTTACCTTCATCATCAATAAAGTCGCCTTCCCACAGAATTCTTGCGTTTGTCATTCGTCACCCACTTTGCACGTTTTTCTTGTCCCTATTTGTGTTGCGGCACTGAGGGAACTGCATGGTCTCATTTTAGGCTGAGCCGAAGAGATAGTCTCTTGTACTGTGCTATGTCGCCAGATTCTAAGTGGCACCCGATGGTAACCCTCATAATAATCTCACTATTTTGGGTCAATCAACTGCAGGTATTTTTATGCACATGCATGTCTCGTCTTGCTTGCCGTCAGCTGCTATTATGTGGATGCGACTGCTCTGCCCAGCGCAGTTTTCTGTTTTCATAGCTCTTCCGAAAAAAAAAATGCCTCATTGACCAGCATGCCGTTAATGCATATTGTTCGCGGCATGTTTTGGTCTTGCTTCGGCCAGTTTGTTAGGCACGGGTTATGTGGTTTAGAAGGTTCAGTCGTTCGATCGAATGAATGTTCCCTGGAATAACGCTTAGACTTCGGATGGCTACTCGTGACGCGCGCCATGATTTTTCGAGTGCATTTTTTTTAGTCGGTGTGTTCATGAAGTCGGTCATGGTTTTCTGCTTCACGTTGGTTGTAATGTAGCCTAGCTGAGCCAAATGATCGAATGACCAACTAAGCAAGATGACGGGTTCAGTGGTGTTCTTGTTCTGTTAATCGTTCGTGGACGTCGCTCCGCGCAATGACATTACGATGCTGTGCCAAATAGACCTAACTGAAGGTTTCCTGAGCTTCACAGAGCACCTACAGCATTGATTAGTAATTATTTGAACAGTACAACTCAAGAGAACGGTCTCGCTGCCTTCAGTAATAGGACCTTCTAATAACTCAGAGAAACGGGCCAAGTGAAAGAATTTTTCCACGTAAGCCATACGCTACCTAAAAAGTTCGGGTAAACGTGCGTGCAGTTGCACATGAAAACTTAGAACTGTAATCCTTTTAATGGAAACAACTGTGCTGAGAAGCTGTCCTTAGGAATGATCTGTATAATTTATCGCAAGGCGAGGATAAATTGCTGAAATATCAACGATGTGTGTTCAATTGATTGCGTTCCGTAACTTCCAGCAAAGGTGCTCGCTTTCAAACCACGTCTAAGGCAAAAAAAAAAAAAAACACGTTACCCTAAACTTTTATGTTGAACGCCGTGATGCTATCAGACCGATCGCATGTTGTGAAGTTAAGAAACCCGAAGACACTGACGACAAGGCTCACATGCTGGCTTATTTTTAGTGGCGAATGTTTTCGGTCAAGTATTTGAATGACAGCCGCAAGGCATGGTAATCTAACTCTTCCAGTTACTTCTCCGTGGCAACTAAGGTAAGTTATTTTTTGTTTCGCTCTGCACTGTTGTGAGGGGCACATTAGTTGATACAGAACGTTGATGCTGTTAATGAGAGCTCCGGCACTTTTCGGCGATGGGTAAATACAACGAAATAATTACCCATTTATTTGTCATAATGAGATAGGTTTATGCGCATTAGTTACAATTATATAAATCACGCATCAAGCCTTTTCGACATACGGCCCGTTAGTTGTTACGGCCAGCCACAAGCACGTACCGTTGCCGCGAAGGTGTCGACACTGTGGCGGGAAAACATGTGTCCCCTTCGTGCTTGGATGACCCAGCGGGGCCCGCGCATGCCGGGCATTTCTCGCTCTCAAGGACGCTTCGCGGCATCTAGAAGAATTGGCTGCCCAAACGAATGGAGTTGAGGCGGGGGAGAAAAGCGGACGACGGCTTGTTTGCTATCACACCTTAACGTCAGTTGCGCAAAGATGATCCGCTGCAGCAGTCTTGTTTGAAGTGAATCAAAAGCGGACACTTGACGGACGACTGCGTCGAGCCCCGCAGCGCCAGTGAACTGGGCGTCGCAAGGCAGTGCGAAGCTGTGCGACCGCTGCAGCTCGTATGCCTGGCTAGCTTGCGCCAAGCGTAGGCACATGTGGAGGAAGAGGGGGTAGTCGGGACGTCGTTTGCATTCTTTAAATCGAGGGCTCTCGTGTACAAACCCCGGCGACCGCGTATATGCGAGTGCCCTGCTGTCACAGGTGTGGAGAGCGCGTGCGCGTGCGTTGTTGGAATAGAGGCCTTTTGGTAGTTTAGTTTTTTTTATCTTGGCCACGAAGAGGGCGTGGTTCGCTGTAATTCCATCCGACAAGAGGAACTCGAAATGCCACACGATCTGAGTGACCAAAGAATCGTTCCCAAGAACTAAAAAAAAAAATGGAAGTATAAGATATAGATGAATAAAGAGAGGCAAGCTTCTCATACGCGCTTTCTGTAGGCCGTAAGGTTGCACAAAACGGTGAAAAGCGGGTCATGTATGGGTGACTGATATCGGAGTACATGGACTGTCAAGCTTTATGAATTTTCGCGTTACCTGCTGAATGTTGTCGATCACGTCGGTTCGTGCGATGTCTGGATACCAACGCCGTTACAGAGTTAAACTTACATGCTGAGATTCCCCTATACTTTTACTTTTCGCATTTAGCATTGCGTTTTTGCCACCCTGCACGTGACTTATGTGGACAGTCCTGCTGCATTCGTTAGGTTCGTAAAGAAAACTCTAGCACTCGCTTGCTCTTCACGCTCATCTACGTCATCGTAATATTGAGCTAATTTTCTTGCAAACTTTCAGCTTGCGTTCAGTAAAGCTAAGATCCAGCTACTGCTTGAAATGAATTACAACACAACAAAACAAAAAAAAAGCTTGGTGTGGCTTTTAAAGAAATAGCACACAGGTGGCTTTATGTACGATCTCTAATAAAACTGGCAAGCAGCTCCGAAAGTGTTTTTTTTTTTTTGCTACGTTAACTATTGTGTGCGAGGTTATTAGTTTGTGTACACGCACATTGGCTTAGCCAGGGTAGGGGTGTGTGCTTCATACCACCCGCTGTCGCACTCCTCGAGCCTTTTCAACTTTGCGCGTGCGTAGTATGCTTGCAAACAGAGGCACAGACAAGCGTAAAAGTTGGTTGAGCTCCTCCACAAAGCTAAATTTTCTAGTTACGCCCTGTGCACGCACTTGAACTCTTCTACTGAACTGAGATGAATGTGATCGTATCACTGCTTGAAAGTTCTGGAAACACAAGTACGATCCTCGAATTCTATGCGAGCATTTTCGAATAATCAATAGCAATAACTAAAAAAAATTGGGTAAGCCTGCGCGAAGTAAGCCTGAAAACAGCGGAGCTGGAAACTTATCTGGTTGCTTATGTGTTGTTTGTAGGCCTTTACTGGGTGACGCAGGTCGCTTCCAGGTGTCACTGCCATTGATTGCGTGTCACTGCTATTGATTCCTATGGGCTTTAACCCGGTTTTGCCAAGTTGTTTACAAACCGATTCTCAACTCAAAGAGGTTCCAGCTATTCTACAGACAGGCACGGCACGTCGACCTGGACATAGGATTTCCATCGCTTCGTGGTGTTCTCGCAGTCACCATTGCCTTTAGCGTTCCCTTGTGTTCTATCGTTGTACGGACTCGTGGTCTCCAACTCGCCGCCGTCGCTTCCAGCCATTTCTTGGGCTTACTGTTGTCTGCTTCCTCTTTAGTAAATGTTATGCGCAGTAAAATTTATCGAATTTATGCGGCACACACCCGTTTGTGGCGATAATAGTGTTCTGATATGCTACTGAAGTTTCTTTGGCACATCCTCATTTGTTGGTCATTCTTCATTTCTAGTGGACTTGGGTAGAGTAGTGGGAATTACCCCACTTTTGTGGCGCATGCCGTTGATAGTCTTCTAGAGCGGTGTTAACAATGAATGATTTACTGAGCAGATTTGCTGTTAATAAAATTACCGGACAGTTCATACTGCAAGTATTCGTCAATACAACGAACACGTGTGAAGTGTTTGGGCAATCTCGCGACCAGGTTTGTAGAAGCATTCGAGCCAACGGTGCGCGTCCCTTCAGCGGAAGTGTATCCAGTGACGTGGCGTATTCCTGGCGGCAACTATACGAACGCGATACCACGGAGAGTCAGTAGCGGCGTACCATGCATGGGACGTTTCACTGTCCAAATGAAAGATATCAATGCAGTAGTCACAACGGAAATATGCATTTACAGCTGTAGTACAAGTTCGCTCTCTCCCAACATGTTTTCACAAATGCGTGTACGGCCGTAAAGATGTGCGCATGGATTTCGAGTTGGCTGATCTTCCCTTCTTTTTATGCCTCCTTCCATAACATAATAATTCAGACATTAAGCGTGGTTTGCTGAACACTTCGTTTCTGCCAATCTGTCGAAAGATGCATCAAAACGCGCTACCAAACCAGCCCACAAAACAACCCAAATTATAGAGGTATTGCACAAAATACGAGCTGGATCGCTAATAGAGTTGCTAAGGTCGAAAGTCCCAAAAATATGATTATGAGAGAAATTTCGACCACCTAGGGTTCTTTATGTGCACCTAAAGCACTTTCACCTGCATCTAAAATTGCGGCCCCCACGGCCGGGAACGATCCCGCGACTGACCTGCGAGTCAGCAGCCGAGTGCCTTAGCCACTAGGCCTTAGCCATTAGGGTGGGTCGCGGGGTGGCTCAAATGCATTCCTCCTGTTCATTGGACGCTTGCCACGCTGGTGTACAAGTTGCAAATTGTCGCCGAATAGTAGTACGCCAACATATCCGTTTCCTGCGTGCTTGTTCGCCCCCTTCGTTCATTTTCTCTTAACGCTCTTTTCTACTTCGTTTTGTTTCTTTTACGCTCGCTCCACTGCCCCCGCCGGCGGCGACAGGAGCGAGACGCGCGAGCAAGGCTATCCAGAATCCATCCGCCCTGACATTCTTCGCAGATCAGAGCTTGTACTGCCTTCAAGCAACGTACGTGACCGATAGCAGCGTGTCAGCAGCTAAAGCGAGAAACAGGCTTGGCGTAGCGCACAGCTGGACACGCTGACCAGTATGCCCCCCCCCCCCCCCTCCTCGTCGAACGGCCGGTCAGTGTCGGTCGGTCGACCGAGAGTGACCGAAAACAGGAATAGCACGTAAAACGGCCGCACGAGGCGCCGC